AACTTGAAATCGACTCAGCCCCTGGGTCTCCGAGGATGAGCAAACATTTGTTCAAACAAGAAGGAAAATCCTAACCCTTGTATTTAAATTCCCGAGATCTGATTGTTTTAAATTAAAATTCTCCCCTCTAGCTGCTACACATTTCCTTGTAAATTAGGTACAAGAATTTGGTGATAGATCAAGACAACAACTTCTACCTGATAAGTTTGAGAATTCTTATCACTTGTTTGCTGAAAAATGTATTGATACGATAGAGAGAAGTTCCATGTTAATCACTTCTGGGAGTTAAAGGGTTGACACAGTGACTGTATGAGATTAACATCATTAACATGATTGTCTAAGAATTAAATCTCACTTATTCCACAAGACAGTGACAAAAATGAAAAGAATGGTAAGAATAACTTAAAACACACAAAAAATTCCTTTTTCAGAAAGATTTTGATAAAGATTTGGATCCATTTTAAAATTTTCCCTCAATTTGGAGTTCATATTATAGCAAAAAATCCATTATTCAAACCCTGGATATGGATGTAAAGCTTTAACATAATGAATATTTTATGACCAAAAAATAAACCAATCTTGTCACCTGCTTTTCATTTTCAATGTAAAACTACTAGAATAATTTGAAATTCTCTCAACAAAAAAATTATCTGTTTTCACAGAAAAGTGGTGAGAAAATATTTTCAGATCAAAATAACAAAGTGAAATAATTAAGAAGCCCAAAAGTATGGTGAACCAATAAGATATTTTAGAATTGTTTTCTGTTACTTGGAATAAATGTATAAAAAGATGCAGTGAATTTCCATGGAGACAAAATTCACAACACTTTATCAAGTTCTAAAGGTAAGTTCAAATTAAGTACAATTATTCACAAAAGGTTTTAAAAGAACATTTTAAATTTCTATCTCAGACAAGTTTTAAGAGTTTTTTTTTTCTATATTATCAGAAGATAACATGGCCTAAGTGAAAACTTGTCCATGTAGAGTGGAAAATCCATGGAAATGTGTCAAAAGTTTGGCAAATCTTGAATCAATTTTCTGATAACCTCAGCATAATGATACTCTGAGATCTGACATAAAATATCTAATTGAAATTCTTTTTACTCAAGATCTAGTAATCAGAAACAAAATTTCATTGTTAACTTTCACTGAGTACCAAAGGACACAGACTATGAGGACACAGAACAACAATCATCTTATGTCTAAATGTTATACAGCTCCATGTTTTCTTCATAATTGCATGCATGTATGTGGTCTATACATATCACAATACAACAAGCTTGTAAAGTGTTATTTGGTGGGCTTATTTTTTCATTATTTTGAGCCATGATAAACACCAAACTTTTGTTTTGAAATATTAACAAATTTAAAGAAAAAATCTTGAGCCACTAACTAACAGTATCAAAAAAGTTATGAATCAGAAAAATAGCATTATTTACAAATTTAGATAATATAAAAATATAATATCTTAAATCACACTTTCTTTGCAGCCTTATTATGTCCTCTGAAAGCCCTCAACAATACATGGGTAAGGATGTCTCAGCTTGGGAACACACCGAGCACAGCAATACATGCACAAGTAGTACATCATACTATGACAGCCAGTACAGCGAGAAACAACGCAACCAGAGAAAACTAGCTAACAGAAGCCCTGCCTCAAGAGGATATCCTAAAGAATGTGTAGGTAATGATTATCAATCATGCTATATTGTTAAATGTTAGCTCTGGATCATATTAATACATGTCAAATATATTGTCTCTTAGAAATAATTTGTGTGCACCAAACTTGTTTCGTATTCATAATCAGGATGATGAAAGGATCAACTTCCATTTAAATTTCCAAAATGCTTTTCCATCCAGATTTTGATGAATTTTCAACCCAACGAGATAATCGAGCTGTCAGATATAGAACAGCACATCAGCAGTGGTTACTGGACAATGATGCATTCTCATTGAATAGCATGAATGAGTGGCAGCAAGATTTACGCCGTTGGACACCCAGTAGCAGTGCAAGATATCCACTGAGAAGGAAGACACCTAAGCCACCCATTGATCCAGAAACATGTTAGTTCATTTAATGCTCAGCTCTATTTTGACCATGATTGCATTACTGGCACACTGCAAAAAAGTTTAAATTTACATTTATAATGACCTGTTGCAGGGAGTAAACTTATATATGGCATAAAAAGATTTTTTAAGTTGACACAATCCAGGAGATTAAGGCAGAGAGTGACACCATGTATAACATTTTAGAGTTGTCAAACACTGCGACAACATATGGCAACATATTAACAAACCATAATCACTGCATGATTACTTTTATTAGTATGCATCAAAAGCTTGCAAAAAGCACAAAAAACAAGAAATTAAATAAGCATGCAATTAAAGTAGTCAATTTTCCCTGTACCATATTGTAGTACCAGAGGACTCTCAAGTTCACATATATCACAGCAAAAAGGACAGACTGTGGGTAAAACGATGGATAATTGGAGTATTGGAGGCAAACAGATATAACATCACTACAAATGGGCAGAAGTCTAGAAAAACTTCTCGCATGATAGTTGTCTTCACGCCAGAGCTTTTTGAAGAGCCATTCTGTCAAGAAATCCTTGATGCCATTGAAGGAAAGATGGTGCTTGGTATCAAACTCAAAGACTGTGATATTCCAGACATGATTGCAAATAACTGCACAAGTTATATTGACCTAACAGCCACAGATCTCAGTGACTTGACTTTTCATATCACATTTATGTTCAGGATGAGGAAAGCTCTCAAGTTGCCTGTATCCATATGTTCAGCGTAATCCTCTTGTCAATTTTTAGGACATGTACCACGTTATACTATTTCAGTAAATGGTTTGAACCTATAGGGGCAACATGTGGAAGTGTAGTGCGATCATGTGGGTGTTAAGTTCTGAAAACGACTGTTGTCAGTGGTGGTGACTGATGTTTCAACAACCTGTGCGGAAGTCATCATCATGCAGAGTCAAGTGAACAGTTGTGATCAGTTGAATGTACTTAGTCCAGTTCATATACAATGATTGGTCAGTTTTGCCATGATGTTATTGGCTGTAAGACTCAAGTGGCATAAGTGGGTTGTGATTGGTCTGTTTTGTTTGTTGGTAAAATAAGTTAGGTGATTCTGTTTGGTTCATTTGTAATATTAATGTTGTGAATGTACTTATCTTTGTGTACAAACCTCAACAAGATCTTGGACAGAAATTAAGCATTTGCTGCAGCTTGAGGAAAATTTCAGACTTCTTCCCATTCTTTTAAAACGTTATTATATATTGAAAACAAAACCTCATTAAACTTTATGTTTGGTTAATTCCACACATTTCCAGGTCTTTTAAGTTTTTTTCTTTTTTCAAGAATTCAAGTCCCTGAAAAAGCCATGTTATCACTTACTTCTAATTTTACAAATCAGCTGGCATGGATATTTCTCTGTGGAGATTTCACCCACCAAAGGACATCATTTCAAATTGGTACATACAGCTCAAACTTCTAGAAACATTACCAGTAGGTAACTGTAAATAATTTAGGAGGGAGAGAGAGAGAGGTGCCTTACTGAAAGATCAATGGTTCCCCGATGCCAAATGTTGCCTTGATCTCCTGCCTTCCTAAACACCATGAACCAAGTCTGATCCACTGTTTTAACCTCCACAGCAAGGCTCCCCATTTCCGTTTTGTTACTGCGATCATTCATATGATAGAAAAAAGTCGTGTTACACCCATCACCTGCAGCAAACCAGGGGGTTTCCAAAGAGGCCTGAAAAAGAAAGATTCTCCTGTAATACTGCATTAATGCAGGTACAGCATTCCCCCTTCCTACATGTATGGATGTTGTTGCTTCATTTTTGGAAAGAACACACACCAAATGCCCCTTGTGAAAATTCACCCCTTGAATGATAGCAAATTGTTATTGGAGTGAGAGGGTCTAAAAAAGAAAATGCGCCATTCACATGAAACAAAATCGTATAGTTACTAAAAGAAGGAATGACCTACAATGAGCTACAATGAGTTACCGTGGGAACAAGGAATGACCTAAAATGATCCACAATGACCTACAATGATTTACAATGACCTACATTCACTCCGACGAAGGGCTACCGCTAGAAACGTCAGCTTTTATAATTGTAACAGTGGCCAATTTACCATTTCAACTTTGTTGATATATTCAAATTAATCTAACCCACAGTCTAGCTTTGAGACTTAAGTGACTGAAAGTTAAACTACCAGATAGTAAGATTTTCAAGATAAAAGAAGAACAAATGAAAGATCATATCTGACCTGATCCCCATTGGGAATGTCTTTACAGTTGTCCACACTATCACTTATGCCATCTTGATCTGCATCTGACTTGTCCTCACATGCATCACCAATCAGATTCTCATCAGTGTCAGTCTGATAAATATTGTACACATTGATGCAGTTATCGCATGCATCACCCACAGTATCTGTATCATTGTCTTCCTGGTTTGGGTTTGGCACAAGAGGGCAGTTGTCCCCATCTTCTACACCATCATTGTCTAAATCACTGCTTTCACAAGCATCACCAGTTCCATCTCCATCACTGTCTGTCTGGTCTAGATTGGGAATATGAATGCAGTTGTCACATGTATCCCCCACACCATCACTGTCTTTGTCTTCTTGATTTGGATTGGCCTCAAACTGACAGTTATCCTTGGTATCTGTGATGTTGTCATTGTCATCATCAATATCACAAACATCACCAAGATTATCTCCATCATTGTTTTCTTGTCCACTGTTGGGAATGAAAGGACAGTTGTCAATCTTGCAATCCTTTAATCGGCAAGGTAACTGGACATCAGGGAGACCGTCCAAGTCAGAATCTTCCTCACAGTATTTACCATTACCAGCAAAACCCAGGTTACAAAGACAAATGGATTGCAGGTTGTTTGGTTGTTGGACACAGGAGCCATTTACTTTGTTGCATATGGTACAAATATCACCACTAAAACAAGCTGAAAGACATTGATAAATAAACAATGGTTTGGTTCATGATCTCTGGTTGTTATCTTCAGGAAAACATCCAGGTTTAAGCCCTTGTCTGGGTCACTTAGCGACTCTCAAAAATAATGAGCGTTCTCTCTACTATTCACCAAAAAATGAAGTGTTGACGCCTCTCTGTTTTCTGAGAGGGAATGAACTAGCTCACTGATGTCTCAAATTTCTTTTGATGTACAACATAAGCCTCCCTATTTTAGCCTTTATAACAAAAGTCAAAAGGATAGAGACCTCTTGTATTCTACAGATTTGATTTCTACAATTATTATAACTGAATGACATTAATAACACATCTGATTTTCAAAGAATATGAGAACAAGAATCACATGTTTGACCCTAACTGAGGTATGCCTCATTTGTTTCAGCTACAACAGAAAGGTACATATGTAAGTAAAGACTTACAATAAAATATCAACAATCATTGGGCTAATTTTCAGACACATTATTTCATTTTAAGGAAATGTCACAGACATCATTTGTATTATTTTGGTTTGATAGTTAACATTCCCATGCAATAAATGACCACAAATCAGGGAAATATTCCCTTACGTTGTTCTGCCTGATTGACACAGGACTGCCTTACCTCCACTCAGAGTTGTCCAATTGCCATCTGAGCCACACCGCACATAAGAGATAGTTTTGTTGAATTCCATATCACAGCTCACATCACAAGTATCCTTGTAATTTGTGCCAGTGCAGTTTTGTAGTTCCACAAAAGGTTCCTTGTAATAATTAACAAGGAAAGAAGAGTTCAGTTTACAAGACAATGCAATGTTAACCTTGTTTGATAGAAGCCCTGTGCAATTATAAGGTCATCTATTTTAAAACAACTCTGCCTTCTCTTTTATACAGCAACTCTGATTTTGAATTTCAGATTTCATTACTGAAGAGTGCATTATGAAACTGTATGATGAACTCACCATAGTTTTACATATTAATCAACCTGGGAAAGGTTTATTGGTGAAGTGAACAATCATTTATAAGATTCCAGTTGTTGGATTCAAATTCTATTCCTTTTTACACTGTAAATATTTTGACTCATGTACCTGATGGAGAAGTATGCCACAATCTTTTGGAAGACAGTTGGTATCTTCACCACTCCATTTTCCATTTTCTTCACAGGAGTAGATTCCACTTGGTAAGTTTTCCTTTTCATATCCTTCAAGGCAATGTATAGTACAAATGTCCCTATATTTTGTACCAGTACAACTCTGTGATGCATGTGGAACCTACAGNAAAAAGAGAAAAAAAACATTAATCAGAAAATGATATGACATTAACAAATTTAAGTCTCTCATTGTGATTGTATGGTTGTAGAGATTTTTACATGTAGATAATATACTGTCCATAGGTTGTAAATGTTATGGTAACCATAAATGAAGTGACAAGCATGCAACCCTTTTCACCTGATGCTGATCCCTCTTGCAGTATCAGGGATGATGGTAATCTTCAGAAAACTTTGCTTTTAAAAATGAAGAATTAACTTAGCTGGTACTTACCTGGCTATCAGGAATAGAGTCGCCATCCGTGTCAAGAACACATACATCACCAATATTGTCACCATCACTGTCAGCCTGTTTAGATAATATTAAACACCACTTCACTCAAATTATTACTTCCAGCTTTCACAGAGATAGCATCTTTAAAATTTTCACTCTCAGGATCCATACAATAATTCTCTGTACAGTCTTAAATACATTAATTGTAATGTTAGTTCTGAAATTTGTGTGTTAAATCAAGTAGCATACCACATTTGATAGTTTCCTACATACTAGTCCCCTGACCAATTGCAGTGAGTGTATTGTATTGATTTGTGAAAAGATGTAACTTCTGAGTCTCTCCTTAGGGTGAAGAGCTGCACATTTTAGGATGGGAAAGTCAAGGTCAGGCATACCTGATCTTTATTAGGCATGAGAGGGCAGTTGTCATTTATATTCAAAACACCATCCCCATCTTTATCCTTATCACATTCATCTCCAAGTTCATCACTGTCACTATCAAGCTACAGATAAAGAAGAGAAGATTCGTCAACAAATGGAACTTATAATGAAGGAAGGGTAACTGATTTCTTGATTAACTGAATGAGTGAATAACTGAGTGACTGATCAACAACATGCCTAACTGACTAACTGAAGGATCAGCTTTGTGGCTAGCAGATTGGCCAAAATCATAGGCTTTGCAAGGTCTGCTGTCAGAGCAGACAAACAAATGTGTGGGCGAGGATAAGTCAACAGGATTTTCAGGGGGACTCCCTCCGATTTTCTCCCACTTTGCCCGTTCCCACACACAGACTGCCTGGAAAAGATAACTTGCTTATCTCTCTCACCTACTAGGCTTAGCAATCTAACTCACATGAATAAAGGCGGATAGTTTCTAAAGGAACTGTTTGGGGCTGCGTCGGTGGGGGTAACGAAATAATTTGAATATATCAACAAAGTTGAAATGGTAAATTGGCCACCGTTATGATTATAAAAGCTGATGTTTCGAGCGTTAGCCCTTCGTCGAAGCAAAAAATGGACGAAGGGCTACCGCTAGAAACGTCAGCTTTTATAATTGTAACGGTGGCCAATTTACCATTTCAACTTTGTTGATATATTCAAATTAATCTAACCCACAGTCTAGCTTTGAGACTTAAGTGACTGAAAGTTAAACTACCAGATAGTAAGATTTTCAAGATAAAAGAAGAACAAATGAAAGATCATATCTGACCTGATCCCCATTGGGAATGTCTTTACAGTTGTCCACACTATCACTTATGCCATCTTGATCTGCATCTGACTTGTCCTCACATGCATCACCAATCAGATTCTCATCAGTGTCAGTCTGATAAATATTGTACACATTGATGCAGTTATCGCATGCATCACCCACAGTATCTGTATCATTGTCTCCCTGGTTTGGGTTTGGCACAAGAGGGCAGTTGTCCCCATCTTCTACACCATCATTGTCTAAATCACTGCTTTCACAAGCATCACCAGTTCCATCTCCATCACTGTCTGTCTGGTCTAGATTGGGAATATGAATGCAGTTGTCACATGTATCCCCCACACCATCACTGTCTTTGTCTTCTTGATTTGGATTGGCCTCAAACTGACAGTTATCCTTGGTATCTGTGATGTTGTCATTGTCATCATCAATATCACAAACATCACCAAGATTATCTCCATCATTGTTTTCTTGTCCACTGTTGGGAATGAAAGGACAGTTGTCAATCTTGCAATCCTTTAATCGGCAAGGTAACTGGACATCAGGGAGACCGTCCAAGTCAGAATCTTCCTCACAGTATTTACCATTACCAGCAAAACCCAGGTTACAAAGACAAATGGATTGCAGGTTGTTTGGTTGTTGGACACAGGAGCCATTTACTTTGTTGCATATGGTACAAATATCACCACTAAAACAAGCTGAAAGACATTGATAAATAAACAATGGTTTGGTTCATGATCTCTGGTTGTTATCTTCAGGAAAACATCCAGGTTTA